GTGAGGGCTGATAATTATGGGTATCAGGGTTATTTTCTATTATTGTAAAATTAATTATATTATTTATTAATTAAAACAAAACTAAAGTTATATAATCTATTAAAAATAATGAAAGTATAAATAAATAAAATTTTCATTAATTTCTGTGTGGAAATGAAATTGAATTTTTTAAATAATTAATCTTAAAAGTTAGAGCCTTAGAGGTGTTGACAACAAAAACTTAAACAAATATTTATTGACAAAACAAAAGCTTATTATTTTAAGTCACGAAAAACTCACATTAAAATGAAATAGGATTTTAAAAATTGATAAATACTGTACAAGTATTGAGTTAATTATAACCATATAAAGTTAATTATAGTTTTATAATCATCGCTCCATAGATAACAATCGACAACTTCTTTGAAATAAAATCCTAAATAATAGATAAACGGAAAGTACTTTCTATTCACTCACAACAAGAAATGACCAAAAAATTAATTTCAAAAACTCATTGATATTTTGTGAAAAGTGAGGAATAGACGCACAAAACAAACCACAACTTAAATCAAACCTAAACTTTAAGGCAATAACTACACTAAAACCAAAATGAATTTGATATTATTGGTGGTCATAGTTGCCACTTATGGGACGAGTGTGTGTAGAGCTGCGGCCAGAAAGTGCGAGATGACTGAGGCTCAGGCGGAGTCGTGTGGGGCCAAAATGATGATTTTGAACGATAACGTGACGCTACCCGAGACCGAGACAGAGATTGAGACCCGATGTAAGGACATTGAGTCAGGTATTGAGTGCTTCAAAAAATACGCCAATACATGTCTGGATCCGATGGCCAGTCGTGTGATGACTATGGTTAGCCGCAATGGCAAGAAAATGTCCGACAAGATATGCAAAGAGCAACCCGGCAGAATCGGTAATATATTTTTAATTGTGGTATAAGTTAATTGAAATTATTAATAATAATAATTTAATAATAATTCATTGCTGAATAAAATATATGATATGTTTTAGAGCTTTTAAATCATTTCAAATGCTGGAAAAAGTCTGAAGATTTGCAAAAACTGAATATATGTTTGGATAAATATATGGTCCAAATGCAAGGGTTAGCTGAAGTGAGTAATGACGACCGGATTCCGACCGTTTGCTGCTCTTTCCATATGTTGAAAGAGTGTCTCAAAAGTGAGGGCCAAAAGGCATGCGATAAACCAGAATCAGTGAATTACATCGAGGGGTTGGCCACCGGTGCGGTATGTCATCACTTGTTTTACATTATTCTCTATATAAAGCTATATTTCAAACTTTTTCTTTACTTGAAAATACAGTTTATTTGCAGATTCTGTGGACCCAAGAATCTGTTTAATACATGTTTTTAAACAAATTCTTGTATCCGACACTTATCTACAATTAAAAATCAAAACATTTAATAAATTTATTATTACAAATAATTATTACTGATTTTGTTTGTTTGTAAATGCAATGCAAATACTGCACAGACGGGAGATTTAGTGAAGTTTGTTTGCGGCAAATTCAAGAGTGTCGCCGATTGTGACGCCAAAATGGAGTCCAATTCGTGGCAAAAACTCAAAGATCTGGTGGCCAGCGATGACCCGGCGGTGATCAAGTCCATGAAAAAGTACCCAACTCCTTTTGCCGCTCTCAAGGACATGCTCAAGAAAATTAAAAATTAAAACTTGCTTATTATTATATAATTATGATGATTTATTGTTATCTATTTAATTTTATCGTAATAATTAATATTAAATAAATTACGAATTTTATTATGCAATTCATGAATTTTATTGGTTAAAAACATAATAATCTAACTATTATTAACACAAATTCAGATAAAATTTTAAAATAATTCTAGTTATATAAATTTAGAAATATATTGAAACTTACAATTTCTAAAAAATAATTAAAAGGAATGATAATTACTAGATGTCAATTTTATTTGTCCTATTGATGGATATTGAATATAAAATGTACTGAATATGTAATTATTAACCCTTTAAGTTATTCTACTTTTAAATGTCAATAGAATATTAATGACCTAAATGTTAAAATAATAGTTTCCATGATGGTTCATCAACTTTTAAAGAAGTTGCATTAACAAGTTAATAAACCAATATAAAAATTATAGTTTGTATAAATGGTATATTAATAAAATTCTCTCTCTCTCTCTCTCTCTCTCTCTCTCTCTGTCTCGGTCTCGGGTAGCGTCACGTTATCGTTCAAAATCATCATTTTGGCCCCACACGACTCCGCCTGAGCCTC